AAGACACAAATTGAAGGGTGAAAAATTTCCTTGTTAAAGCATCAATTTAGTTTCATTCCACAAATTCTGAAATGTAGTATTTCTATTCTCATGCAATATAAATTATTTCTAATTTTATTTTTAATCCATTTGTTATTTAGATGTATGTTGCATAATTTCCTAGTATATGGGACTATCAAGTTATCTTTCTTCTCTTTATTTTTAGCTTAATTTTACTCTTGTCAGATAACATTTTCTGTATAATTTCAGTAATCTGAAATTTTTTGAGACATATTTTCTGGTCCAACATGGGGTCAGTTTTATCAAATATTCTGTTTGCTATTAAATAGAATGTGTATTATACAATTATTAAATGCAATTATGTCACGCATTAATACATAATTTTGGTCAAGTTTTAAAATCATGTTTAAGTCATTTATCATGGATGAACTTTTTTCTGTTATGCTATCAATTGCTAAGAGAAGTACATTAAAATCTCCTACTATGATTTCAGATTGCCTGGTTTTGTTCAGTTTTTTGCTTAATATATTTTAAAACGGTTGTATTAAGCTCTCTTGAATAAGTTAGAATTGCTTTAACTTTCCAGCAAATTAAAATTTATCAAAATGAAATATTCTTTTTAAATAATCAGTAGTGTTTTTTATCTTAAATTCTATTTGTCTAATAATAATTCAGCTTAATTGTATATTTATACAACCTTTTTTAAAAAATTCATTTTATGTGTCCATAACTAAAGCATTTCCCCTGCAAGCTGTGTACAATTAGGATTTGTTTCCATTCAGTTGGAAAACATTTACTTTTCAGTGTTTTTAGTTATTTCACATTTAGTGTAATTGGTAATGCACTTGAGTTTAAATTTACATTACAACTTTATTCTATTTCTTTGAACTGTCTTATGTTGCTTTTGTTCTTATTCTGGCCTTTTAAAATTAATTTTGAAAAGGAAAAGCTTTTTATTTATTTAATTTTTTTCTTCCTATTTGCTTGGTAGTTATATGTACAGTTGCATACTACCCTTTCAAGTTTACCCCAAAGATTAGAACATAAATTCTCAAATTCCAATATAAATTAGTATTTACACCATTTCTCTGTTAATAGAAATGCCTTAGAAACCTTAGACCATTTGTCGTCCCCTGTATTATGTGCAATTATTATCATGAATTATTTTCTTTGCCACTTACACCCCTCAATGCTTTATATATGCAATATTCAGTTAGATATCTCCAGTCATGACCCTTTTGACTCCTCTTGATTCTTTCCCTCATATGCATGCTAACATTCAAAATCATTTTTCTTCTGCGTAAACATCCTGTTTATTGTTTTCCTCCCTGTCTGCTGCTGATTATTTCTTTCACCTAACGTTTGTCTGAAAATGTCTTAAGAATGAAGGTTTTTATTTTTCGAAATATATTTTCACTGACAAAATTTTAATTTGGCAGTCACTGCTTTCATTATTTGAAAGATGTCATTCCATTGTCTTTCGGCTTCCATTGTTTCTGTTAAAAAGTTAGCTTTTTGTTCAGGCACAATTTCTGTTATATTTCAGAGGTCGCTTTTTATTTCCTCCTTTCTTCCACATCCATTTAAGTAAATTTTTATAATTTTTTTCTGATGAAATCCTTAGTGTGTCTTTTGTTTTCAGCTGAACTGTGTCTGATATGATGTCATTATTTAATGTGTATATCCGATAATGCTACTATCTGTTGGTTGCTTCTTTCATTTTGTTGATATATTATCTTGTTTCCTGTATAGTATACTTGGTTATTTTTGTTTGAGTGCTAAAAACTGTACAAGAAAAACCATGGTGATAATCTGAGGCCAGGTGTGGTGGCTCATGCCTGTAATCCCAGCACTCTGGGAGGCCAAGGCTGGTGGATCATTTGAAGTCCGGAGTTCAAGTTCAGCCTGGCCAACATGGTGAAATCCCATCTATACCAAAAATACAAAAGAATAGTTGGGTGGTAGTGGTGCATGCCTGTAATCTCAGCTACTCAGGAGGCTGAGGCAGGAGAATTGTTGAGCCTGGGAGGCAGAGGTTACGATGAGTTGAGATCATACCAACGCACTCCACTCTGGGCAACAGAGTAAGACCCTATCTCAATAAATAAATAAATTGAGGGTCTATGTTTTCTAGAGCAGAAGCTGGAAAGCTTTTTCTGTGAAGCCAAGTGGTAAACATTATTGAGTGCAGGCTTTATGGTTTCTTTTGCAACTGCTCAACTTTAACACTGTAGTGTGAAAAGTATTATATAAAATATGTAAATGAATGAATGAACCTGGTTATGTTCCAACAAATCTTTATTTTAAAACAGTCATCTGGCTCGATTTGGTTTAAGGGCTGCAGTTTGCTGACCCCTCATTCTAGAGAGAATTTACTTTTGTCTCTGATAAATTGATAATCTAGGTGCATTAGCAATCCAATGCTACCTTATTCCAATAAGAAATTGAGATAATTCAAAGTTAGACTTCAGCTCTCATGAAAGTTTATCTGTATTGCATTCATCTAAATTTTTATTGATTAGAACAGGGTTTCTCAAACCTGGCACTATTTTGAGCCAGAAATTATTTGTTGTAGAGGGCTATTCTGTACATTGGAGAATATTTAGGAACATCATGGTCTCTAGCCCCTACATTCATTAACACATTCCACCTTACAATTCTGATAAGTAAGAAGTCTCCAGTGATGGCCAAATTGCCCCCAATCAAGAACCACTGGCCTGAGGGTCCCCTTGATGGTCAGACCTACCTCCATTTATTATTCTCCTAATGTTCCTTGTACTATATGCCTTGAAGGCTCTGCTCAGTTTCTCAACTTTCAGCCACCTCTTTAAGAACGGGATGAATACTTTAGTGTACAATCACCCCATATATTTGTGTCATCTCTTTGGTTTTTTCTTCTCCTGGCTTTGGCACACTCTTTTTATTCTAATACACCTTTTCTATGTTCTATTTTGGATTATTTTTTCAAGCTCAGTAGTCTGTTATTACCATAAGTAGAACACCCAATATATAGCACTTTTATTTATTTATTTACTTTTGAGATGGAGTTTTGCTCTCGTTGCCCAGGCTGGAGTGCAATGGTGCAATCTTGGCTCACTGCAACCTCTGCTTCCCAGGTTCAAGTGATGCTCCTGCTTCAGACTTCACAGCTGGGATTACAGGCGCCTGCCACCACACCCAGCTAATGTTTTTTATATTTTTAGTACAGATGGAGTTCCTCCATGTTGGCTGGGCTAGTCTCAAACTCCTTACATCAGGCAATCCTCCCGCCTCAGCCTCCTATAGTGCTGGGATTACAGGCATGAACCACTGTACCCAGCCATATGTAGCACTTTTAATGGACTTTGTTTCCTAAATTTGTCTTTCATTAGATATAATTGGGAATGGAAAAAACAATTCAATAGAGTCTTAATAGATTCCATTTATACTAAATGCTAAATTTATTATAACCTTTCTGTGTATATTAGTCAGTTAATTCTAATGTCATTATCTAACTTAAAATTAACTAATTCAATTTCCATGAAAAAAACAGACTATGCGCTAGGCTTTTAAAAGTCAATTTGGAAATCTAATCTTGATATAAGTTATCTATTAATCATAATTTAGTACTAAATTAAAACATGCATATTATTTAAAGATATTACTTTTTTTTTTTTTTTAAATGAATGAGAGGTTCTTATGTTGCCCAGGTTGGCCTTGAACGCATAGCCTCGCCTCCTCAGGCACCAGGACAACTGGCCCAAGCCACCACGGCTCCTGAAGATATTACATTTTTTAATGGATAAAATAATTTAAGTAAAAATTTTTAATGGGCCAGGTGTGGTAGCTCACACCTGTAATCCTAACACTTTGGGAGGCAGATGAATCACCTGAGGTCAGGAGTTTGAGATCAGCCTGGCCAACATGGTGAAACCCGGTCTCTACTAAAAATACAAAAATTAGCTGGGTGTAGTAGTACATACCTATAATCCTAGCTACCTGGATGGCTGAGACAATAGAATCGCTGGAACCTGGGAGGCAGAGTATGCAGGGAGCCGAGATCATGCCACTGCACTCCAGCATGGGTTACAGAGCAAGACTCTGTCTGGAAAAAAAAAAAAAGAAAGAAAATTAAGCTGTAATTTTTTCCTAGAATAGTGCTAATTGAATTTGTTATAGTTTTAATTATGTCATTATCAAAGATTTATATGTTTAGTAAACCTGGGTCTTTTATTGACAGCCTGTGTGACATTGATCTATTTGCTTAGTCTTCCTGGGACGTGATTTTATTTCTATAAAATAAGTGGTAGTGAACACTTTTTTAAACATAATTTGTGCATGGCATTGGTTTATGTATTTACATTTGTAAATACATTATGTATTAATTTGAGCAATGCTTATAGTAACCATATGAGTTTGCCACGATTAATATGCCCACTCTTCACATAAAGAAACTGATTTAATATCTATTATAAATGTATTGCTTACATTTGATATACCATGACTAATGATTAGAGTTGGAGACTTGGCATGATGAATTCCATTTAACTTATAAAGTTACTGGTAAACAGTTTTACCTCCATAAAACAAATTATAAAACTAACATTATAAAATACCTTGCTCAGTGATATTTTAGATGACCATTTTCCTCAAATGTTTGGATGTGTCCATATATCCAATTATAGCTACTAACATATTTTATTGCTTTTAAGCAAAGATTTAGCCAATCTACAGCAAGATAGTACTTACATTCTCTTAATCAGATTTGCTTTCTCCAAAACTATGTATTTTAAAAATAATATTCTGTGCTTTGTCTTCTGTAATTGACCACCTATAACCCTGGACTTGAGCTTCTACCAACTCCAAAAGCAAAAGCACTACTTAATTCCGTCTACTCTTAAAGGGTTAGTCAACCTCCAAGAATCAGATTGATAAATTATAAAACTATATTTTTAAAACATTCTTTTGCTCACTAACAATTTTTACAACACAAATTATTAAAAATTTGTGTATTTGTATTGAATGCTAACCTATGTTTGTGGTATGAAAGTGAAAAGATATCCAGTGAGAAGTAAGATTACATCCTATCTTCTTCTCCAGATATTGAGTTCCCTTCCTTAGATTTCACTACTCAGAATTAGGCAAGCATTTGAGAACCACTGTAACAACCAATTTTAAAGTAGCATTTTTCTTACAAGAATTATATGCTATCTTATATACAGTATATTATAGCTTTTATAGTTTCTTAACATACTTATTCCTTAATCTAATGGTCATTTGTTCAATGCCTAATAGTTTCAAGGTGATGTTTAAGTCAATAGCTTTAAATTTAATGCATACTAAATTCTACGAGAAGATTTTTAAAGAATACTTTATTACCCAGCCAAACCAGCTAAGTCTAAACCTCAGAGATGAAATGTCGAGGCATTACTCTGAAAAGCACCAGATTTTAAAAAGGATTTTTAAACTCTCCAGTGGATTCTAATGCACACCAGATTAAACACTGCACCCCACACCCCACACTGGGACATATAAAAATATATTTGGCACCAAATCTTTTCTCAAGTTGCTAATAATTAAGTGAGTAAAATATCCATTGTGTATTATCTGAACAAAAAGCTTTAATTTGTAAAACTTGCTGATTTTCATGGTGTAAATCTGTTCATCATGCCCAACTTAAAGCTTGCAACATGACTCACTGAATGCATAGTTGGGAAGAAATGCAAAACAGCACACTATTACATGGAGTTTCCACCACTCAGATATAATAGATTACATAAACAACCTCAAAATTGCAAGTAATAATAAAATGGGGTAAAATAATTAGGAAATAATGAGGTTTAATTATTTGTTGTACATATTTTAATATGATTTATGGGTATCAGCTTAAATATATTTATGTAATTTTTAATAATGACAATATTTACCTGTCGACTCACAAAATCCTCAAAAGTTTAAAAATCAGTTTTTGCAGGACTGTACAAGTGAGCTCTGACAAACCGCCACCTCTAATACATACTATGTGAACTACAATAGATATTGGAAAGAAAATAAGCACCATGAAAGCATATTATCTCCTTTGCTCCTGAAAACTATTTAGTAGAGGTGATAAAATGCACATAACCCTCTTTTTACTGACAAGGCTATAAAAATTCCCAGAGACCTCAATTTGCCCCTTCCTGAGTAAGCCACAGATCTGAACCAGATCATGCCACCTGACTCCCATTCATTTTCTTTACCAACCAGTCTTTTAAGAATCATCCCAGAAACAAAAAATATAAATTTGGGAACTTTTTTAAAAAAGGATTTTAGTTACTAACATATCTATATTTAAAAGTGGTCCATGCTAATCCACACTAATCATTGAGCAGATTTTCCTTTGATTCTTTAATGATGAAGCTTAGAATAATATTTTACACAGAAGCTCCCTGCATTTTTAACTAATAATATTCACCAAGCACTTATCTTATATTCTACTTGAAACATAAGGGTAGCAAAAGGAATACAAGTTTTGATGTTTACACTCAAGGAGCTTTCGGTCTTATTGATCTCCAAAATTGCAAAAACGTAACACAAGTCAATTCAGTCATTTTAAATAAAGGTACTAACTTTTGAGTGTGAGGAAAACTTCTAGCAAGCCAGAGAATGCTCAAGAGGTTGTGTTCATGAGGGAGAGAAGACTAGAGTGCAACCTTCAAATATGGGTAGTTGTCTTTCCTAAAGGGAGAGAAAAATTATCTCAGACAGCATGAGACTTCTTAATTTCCTCACTTCTCACACCTGCTTGTTTTGGAATTGCATTAGGGCTCAGCCCTAGCACACCTGTCTGATCACTCAATGGTTGTCACTAGGCAGATCTCACTGAACAATGACAAAGAGGTGGTCTGAATCAACTTGGTTTGCTTACAGAGTTGTATGGCTACAAGCAAAAATGTCCCCCACTGCTTTCACCTTTGATAACTCTGGGAAATATTTATTTGTGCCTTTATTGAAAGAACATTTTCCAATAAGGGGCTCCTAATCGTGAATAATGAGTCAGGTCTCTACACTCTCTTACCTATATTTTGAACACTCTCTTTGATTTCAGATAGGTATTTAGTAGAGAGATGGGGACAGGAAAGGGTCTGGGATCAAACAAAACAGCACAGTTCTTAGGTACATTGGATTTTTTAGTGTCAGCTATAATGTAGCCAAGGTGAAAACTAAAGGAACCAAATTCCCAAAGCGTATTTTAAAGGAGGGAAATAATGCAATTTTAAAAAGTTAACAAGCTAGGGCCAAGATGGCTGATTAGAAGCAGCTGCAGTCTGCGGAACTCATGGAAAGGAAAAAAAAGGTCACATGAATACAGGACATTCAACTGAAATATCCTGGTACTGGCATTGGGACTGATCAGAGAAACAACTTTACCCATGGGGATCAAAGAAAAGCAGGGTGGGACCCACTGGGGAGCAACATTGAGCCAAGAGAATTTCCACCCCAGCCCAGGGAAGTGGCAAGTGGTTGTGTGACCCCCAGGAAACCACCTTCTCACACAAATCTTTGCAATCCATGGATCAGGAGGTCCCCTTGTGGGCCCACGCCACCAGAGCCTTGGGTTCAACACACAGTGCTGTTTGGAGTCCCGGCAGAACAGCTGCTCAGGCATGAACAGAAACCCAGGAGCTTTACAGACTCCAGCCCTGGGATCCCTGGAAAGGGTGTAGGTAATTCAGGCAGGGCAGAGGGCATGTGCATATGCCTAGGAAGGGGGCTTAATCCAGGGGACTGAGTGGTGACAGTCTGTGGACTTAACCTCCACAGTACCTCATGAGTCTTACCACAGCCAGGGCCTCTAGCTACCCCTACCTGCCCATATTCTATGGACAGAGCTCTGTTCTCTCCCTGGGAAGTGGTGCCCAAGGGAAGGGGTGGGACATCATCTTGGTTGTTTGGATGACTCAACCATTCCAGCCTGCAGCTTGTGGAGAGTTTAAGCTGACAGGAGCAGAAGCAGTTCCCCAGCGCGACACAGCTGTTTGGTCAAGGTGTGGTCAGACTGCTTCTTTAAGAGGGACGCTGATCCACTCCTCCTTGCAGGGCAGATCCTCCCAGCCAGGGCCTTCGACCAGGCTTTTCCATGTTTCATGGCCACTAGAGTTCTAATTTCTCCCTGGGATGGAGTGCCTGGGGGACAGGGCAGGCCACCACTTTGGCTATTCCAGCATCTCAGCTGGTCCAGCCGATGGGCCATGGAGAGCCCAAACCAATCAAGGGTTAACAATCAGGATCCCTAACATAGCACAGCTGTTCTAGCAAAAAACAGCCAGACTGCTTTTTTAAGTGAGTAACTGATCCCATTTCTCCTGACTGGGTGAGACTTCCCAACAGGTATATCCAGCCACCTCTACAGGTGTGTTCAGGTTGGCAACATGTCAGTACTCCACTAAAATGGAGCTTTCAGAGGAAGGGGCAGGCTGCCATCTTTGCTGTTTTGCAGACTTCATTGGTGAGGTATCATCTCACCAATGAGAAAAACCAAGGGGATGAGGCTGTCGAGGGGACCCCCAACAAACTGCAGCAGTCCTTTGGAAAAGTGGAGAGACTGCTAAAGCAACAACAAAACCACAAAAACCAATCGTATCAAAAGGTTGGCAACGTCAAAGATTGAAGGTTGATAAATCCACAAAGATGAGAAAGAGTCAATGCAAAATCTCTGAAAACTCAAAAAGCTAGAATGCCCCTCTCCTCCAAATGATCATAACACCTCTCCAGCAAGGGCTCAGAACTGGCTGAGGTGGCTGAAATGACAAATGCAGGCTTCAGAATGTGGATAAAAACAAGCTTCGCTGAGTTATAGAAGCACATCGTAACTCAATGCAAAGAAGCAGAGAATCATGATTAAGACAATGAAGGAGCTGACAGCGGAAATAGCCAGTTTAGAGAGTAACATAACTGACTGGATAGAGCTTAAAAAACACACTGCAAGAACTTTACAATGTAACCACAAGTGTTAACAGCAGAACAGACCAAGTGGAGGAAAGAATCTCAGAGCTTAAATGCTATCTTTCAGAAAGATGAGTACAGAGCAAAAAAGTAAAAAGGAATGAACAAACCTCTGAGAAATATGGGATTATACGTAGGGGCCAAGACGGCCAAATAGGAACAGCTCTGGTCTGCAGCTCCCTGTGAAGCCAATGCAGAAGGCAGGTGATTTCTGCATTTCCAACTGAGGTACCCAGTTCATCTCCTTCAGACTGGTTAGGCGGTGTGCAACTCATGGAGAATGAGCAGAAGCAGGGTGGGGAATCGGTTCACCCAAGAAGTGCAAGGAGTTGGAGGATCTCCCTCCTCCAGGCATGGGAAGCCTTGAGAGACTTTGCTACCCAACCTGGGTACTATGCTTTCCCCACAGTTTTGCAATCTGCAGAACAGGAGACTTCCTCATGAGCCTACACCACCAGGGCCCTGGGTTTCAAGTATAAACTGGGTGGCTGTTTGGGCAGGGACCAAGCTAGCTGCAGTTTGTTTTTTTTTTTTTTTTTTACCCCAGTGGGGTACCTGGAACCCCTGCAGTTTGTTTTTTTTTTTTTTTTTTTGTACCCCAGTGGTACCTGGAACCCCAGAGAGACAGAACCGCTCACTCCTCTGGAAAGAGGGCTGAAGCCAGGGAGCCAAGTGGTCTTGCTTAGTGGGTCCCACTCCCAAAGAGTCCAGCAAGGTAAGAACCATAGGCTGGATGGTTTTTTCACTGCCAGCACAGCAGTCTGAAATTGACCTGGGACGACTGAGCTTGACGCGGTGAGGGGCATTGGCCGTTACTGAGGCGTTAGTAGGCCTTTGATAAAATTCACAGCTCTTCATGTTAAAACTGTCAATAAACTAGGTATTAGAGAAACATACCTCAAAATAATAAGAGCCTTATATGATGAACCTTCAGCCAATATCATTCTGAATAGGCTAAAACTGGAAGCATTTCCCTTGAAAACTGGCACAAGACAAGGATGCCCTCTCTCACCACTCCTATTCAACATAGTATTGGAAGTTCTGTCCAGGGCAATCAGTCAATAGAAAAAAATAAAGCATATTCATATAGAAAGAGAAGAAGTCAAACTACCTTTGTTTGCAGATGACATAATCCTGTGTCTAGAAAGCCTCATCATCTCAGCCTGAAAGTTACTTAAGCTGAAAAGCAACTTCAGCAAAGTCTCAGAATACAAAATCAATGTATAAAAATTGCTAGCATTTCTATACACCAACAACAGTCAAGCAGAGAGCCAAATCACAAATAAACTCCTATTGTCGATTGCCACGAAAATAATTTAAAAACCTAGAACTATAGCTAACAAGAGAAGTAAAGAACCTCTTCAGGGAGAACTATAAATCCCTGCTCAGAGAAATCAGAGTTGACACAAATAAATGAGAGAATATTCCATGCTCATAGATGGGAAGAATCAATATCATGAAAATGCTCACACTGCCTAAAGCAATTTATAGTTTGAATGCTATTCTCATTAAACTAGCATTGACATTCTTCACATCATTAGATAAAACTATTTTAAAACTTATATGGAACCAAAAAGAGTAGCCAAGGAAATCCTAAGCAAAAAGAACAATGCTAGAGGCATCACACTACTCAACTTTAAACTATACTACCTGACTACAGTAACCAAAACAGTGTGGTACTGGTACCAAAACAGGCACATACAGCAATGGAACCAAAAAGAGAACCCAGAAATAAGACTACACACATCTACAACCAACTGATCTTCCACAAACCTTACAGAAACAAGCAATGGGGAAAGGATTCTCTATTTAAGAAATGGTGCTGGGAGAACTGGCTAGCCATATACAGAAAATTGAAACTGAACATCTTTCTTAAACCATATACAAAAATAAATTCCGGATAGAGTAAAGACCTAAATGTAAAATCCAAAACTATAAAAACCCTAGAAGAAAACCTAGGCAATACCATTCGGAACATAGGCATGGGCAAACATTTCATGACAAAGATGCCAAAAGCAATTGCAACAGAAGCCAAAATTGAGAAATGGGATCTAATTAAACTAAAATGCTCTGTACAGCAAAAGAAACTATCAACAGAGTAAACAGACAACCTACAGAATGGGAGAAAAATTTTGCAATCTATTTATCTGACAAAAGCTAATATCCAGCATCTACACAGAACTTAAACAAATTTATAAGAAAAAAAAAAAAAAAAATTAAAAAGGGGCAAAGGACATGGACAGACACTTTTCAAAATAAGACATACATGCAGCCAACAAACATGTGAAAAGAAGCTCAACATCACTGATTATTATTAGAGAAATCCAAATCAAGCACTCAGTGAGATGCCAATTCAAACTAGTTGGAATAGTTAGTTCAGTAATTGTGAAAGACATTGTGGCAGAAGATATGAGAAACAACACAACAGGCATATAATAAACAACACAACTGTCAGTTTAAAAAAAAAGTCAACCAAAAGCAGATTCAAAAATTGGAAATACCACATGTAGTCTTGAAAATAACTGCACTATATGAGTCACTGTCCAGCCAAGAACACAGAAACCATACTTGAGATTTTTATAATGGAGAATTGAATATTAATATGTACTCAGACAGCTGTGAGAGAAATGAGGAAATAAAAAGGGACCTCTAAAATAACAAATACAGATATAGTGCCTAAAAGAAGGAGTTGACTTTTCAACAGAAAAAATGGAAGACAGAAGACAATGGAATGACATCTTTAAAGTAATGAAAGCAAATGAAGACATTTTCAGACCAAAAAATAAAATAAAATAAAAGATTTCATAGACATACATAGAGGCAAATAATAGGGTGATCTGCAGGCAGAACAAAAATGATCTTGATCTTGATGGCAGCTTGGATATGCAGGAGAAAATGATGAGCAATGGAAAGGGTCATGATGTTAGATATCTAAATGAATATTGCATGTATAAAGCAATATTAGTAATAATGTGATGAACAAGTTAGAAAACAAATATTCATGAAAACAATAATATATATGGGAAAGTGGTAAATGATCTGCGTTCTAAGGTACATGCATTGACAGGAAAGTAACACAAGTATTAATTTATATATTCTGATTCCTTCCTTTTCTTTCCACAGTTTTCTCCCCTAGTAAACATTTTACATTTCTAATTCTATCCCAGTGTCTGTTTCCTGGAGAACACAACCTGTGATGAGTATCTTCAACTTTAGAAGCTAATGTTATTTTTATTTTTTCTAATTACACTTTTGCTAACACTATGTGAATTTTCCAAATGGTCTACATTCTCTTTACCAGGGACAATACAAGGCAGACAGGCAGGCAACAGTAATTGACATGTCTGGTACAAATAGGATAATTATAGAACTACAAAAAGAAAAGTGCAAGATTCCCAGTGCTCAAAGTTCAATCAGTGGTTGTATTAAATCAGCATACATGGTTCCATTCAGGACAAGAAACAATTTGCCTGGCATTGCACAATGAGTCAACACAACTCCAATACTCCTGTTTATGTAAAGGGGCAAAAATCACTTCTACTGTTCTACTAACAAAGCTGCTGCATAAAAAAATCACCCTTTTATTAATATAATCATACTAGTTATATTAGCTACTTTTGTACACATTCCTCAAAATTTTCTTTTCTTTTTATGAGTGTTACATTTTTGTTGCTTTCTTGCTTAGTGGCCATATTGTGTTTGGGGATGTGAGTTCAAAAGTCAAGGACTCCATTTGGTTTAATTTCACTTATGTGGAACTGTGGTTACACATCACAACTTAAAAGAGCTGAAAATATTCTTTCCTATTTTTTTTTTTATCAAACCATACCTGAAGATCCCAACAGCTTTTATAACTTATTCCAAAAAGGCTTCCCCTAAAAGAAATTGGAAGATTTGGTTTTATGTTATTTAGGTCACTTAATCAGAAAGCAAATCATGTGTCTTTGATCATGCCCTTGCCAGAAGATCCCTAACTCATTAGCGTGCTATTAATGAGGCTGCATTTTAAAGCAGGTGTTGTTAAGTGCAATCAGAGCAGCTTTATTAAGCCGCAAATTGTTTTGCGATGACAAAGGAAGTCAGATTGGTCTATGCTCAGTTAACCTTTGTCTATATGCATGACTTGGCTGATTAAACAGCAATTGATAATGATCTTCAGTCTTGCAAAGCCAGAAAAAGGTGATGCCTAATGTTGGCATTCATTGTATGTGATGTGAGTGACAGGCAGGCAGTCTCTTTAATTTAGAAATATATAATGCAGTTTCAAAATTAACTAATATTACAGCGCAATGAACTACTAATGTATGTATATTAAACTGATATTTTTGTGTGCATGTTATTTCAGAGTAGGGCATTATTGGAAAGTTAACTTCAAGTCAAAGAAATTTTAACTGGCCATCCTTAGTAGCTAGAAATAGAAGACTGTGGAAGAAAAAGGAGAGTTGTTTTTGAAGATTGGTTAATTTCTTTAACAAGCATACTAAGCTCCTAATACCTTGAAGATGCTGGCCTGGTAAATTTATCACAGGCCCTGTTTCCCAAGAGCTCACAATGGGGTGATAGACAGGAACACCAATTTTATGACAATTTATTCAGTGCAACAACAGTTTATCATTAGCACCTGAGAATGCTGTCTGTCATTCTCAGGACCTCAACTCATTCCAAAAATGTGGAAGGAGATGCCACAGACTGTGCGGAAATTTTAATTTATTGAGTGTCTGTTATATGCTAAGCACTCTGTTCATGGTGCCTCACTGAATCTCTATAACAATTCTTACGTAAATATTACTGACCTCATTTCACAGATGAGAAAACAAAAATTATTTCATGGGTTAAGTGTTTTGCTTGAGCACAGTCATCTGGTAAGAGTTTTAAGTCAAGCTCTGTTTGTCTCTAAAACCTACATTATTCTAAAACCAATGTGGTAACACCCAAGATACATAGGATAAGTAAATGGCAAATTTTTTATCTTCTGTACTCTGTATGTATGTGCGTGTTGGTGGAGGCTTTTGTGTGTTTGTTGGTGGAGGCCAGCTTTCTTGTTGCCTAGTTTGGATCACATTGTCTTTGAAATCCATTTTGAACAATGGCTTTCACCTCATGGTATTATAAATTTCTCTGTAATCTTTGTAAGTTCACCTTCATGAATAGACATTTGATGACTTCATAATTTATCACAGCATCCATCCTTAATATTTAGAAGGCTTTACAAAGCACCCTACTAAAATATGAACAGTCTAAATGTGGGCATAACTTGAGTTTTGCTAACACTTACACTTCCCAGCTTGGGTTAAGGACATTTTATTCTGGGATATATTAATAGATGTGCCAAGAAAAAATAACAGGGCTCAAGTAGATGTGTTTAACTGTTAAACAAAGTTAGAGAAGTTTCTTTCTTACTGCAGGACCTTTCAGAACCTTTAACATGCTAATATAATAGTATTGTGACTTTCCAGGAGAGAACTGGGGTATTCTGCATTTCCCAAGCTTTCTTGACCATGAGGCTCTTTGTTCTTTGAGTACCAATTAACGCTCATAAGAATTAGTGTGTGCAGAACACAGCAAGCCTCTGCTGTATAAAACATTAGCAGCCAACTAACAGCATAGAGGAGGCAGAGAAAAGAAATACAGAGGAAAGGACACTGATACAGAACATACAAAATCCAATGATTAATTTAACTTTTCTCACAGTGTTGCTAGAAGCTGCTGTGATTATTTAAATGCTGAAACAACCTTAATGAATGGCATGATCATTAATTATATAAATATAAATAATGTTCATTTAAATAGCCAAAAGCAAGTAAGTATCAATAGTTACTATAAATATGAGTAGAGTCTCCCTGACTCTTATCTTTCTTCTTTGAAAAAAAAATTCATAAGTTTTTGGGGAACAGGTGGTGTATGATTACATAAATAAGTTATTTAGTGGTGATTTGTGAGATTTTGGTGCACCCTTCACCCGAGCAGTATACACTATACCCAATTTGGAGTCTTTTATCCTTCATCCCTCTTCTACTTGTTCCCTCAAGTCCTCAAAGTCCATTGTATCATTTTTATGCCTTTAAATCCTCATAGCTTAGCTCCCACTTAGGAATGAGAACATATCGTGTTTGGTTTTCTATTCCTGAGTTACTTTGAGTAGAATAATGGTCTCTAATTCCAACCAGGTTGCTGTGAATGCTGTTATTTTGTTTCTTTTTATGGCTGAATAGTATTCTGTATATGTATATGGATGTAGTATTCCATATATGTATTCCACATATATATATGTAGGTATGTGTCATTCATATATATATATATATATATATATATATATATATGTGGAATACATATATGGAATATATATATATATATATCATTGTGATATATATTGTGATATATAGAGAGTGATATATATTGTGATATATATAGAGTGATATATATATATTGTGAGATATATATATAAAGTGAGATATCTATATCTATATAGATATATAGATATATATGGATATATATCACAATTTCTTTATCCATTCATTGATTAATGGGCATTTGGGCTGGTTCCACATTTTTGCAGTTGCAAATTGTGCTTCCATAAACATGAATGTTGCAAGTATCTTTTTTGTATAATAGCTTATTTTCTTCTGGGTAAATACCCATTGGTGGGATTGCTGGATCAAATCGTAGTTCTACTTTTAGTTCTTTAAGGAATGTCCACACAGTTTTCATACTGTTTTTCATAATGGTTGTACCAGTTTACATTCCCTGCAACAGTTTAAGTGTTCCATTTTTACTGCATCCCTGCCAACACCTATTATTTTTTATTTTTGGTTATGGCCATTCTTTAAGGAGTAAGGTGGTATTGCATTGTGGTTTTAATTTGCATTTCTCTGATCATTAGTGATGTTGAGCATTTTTCATATTTTGTTGGCCATTTGTGTATCTTCTTTTCAGATTTGTCTATTCATGTCCTTAGCCCATTTTTTGATGGGATTGTTTGTTTCTTTCTTGCTGATTTGAGTTCCTTGTAGATTCTGGATATTAGTTCTTTGTCAGATGTATAGATTGTGAAGATTTTCTCCCACTCTGTGGGTTGCCTGTTTACTCTGCTGATTGTTTCTTTTGCTGTGCAGAAACTTTTTAGTTTAATTAAATTCCACCTGTTTATCATTGTTTTTGTTGCATTTGCTTTCGTGCTTTTGGTCATGAAGTCTTTGCCTAAGCCAATGTCTAGAAGCGTTCTTCCAATGTTTTCTTCTAGAATTTTTATGATTTCAGATCTTAGATTTAAGTCCTTGATCCATCTTGGGTTGATTTTTGTATAAGGTGAGAGGTGAGGATTCAGTTTCATTCTTCTGCATGTGGCTAGACAATTATCCCAGTAATATTTGTTGAATAAGCTGTCCCTTCTCCACTTCAAGTTTTTGTTTACTTTGTTGAAGGTCAGTTGACTGTAGGTATTTGGCTTTATTTCTGGGTTCTCTATTCTGTTCCATTGGTCTATATAACTATTTTTATACCACAACCGTGTTGTTTTGGTGACTATGGCCTTATAGGTTACTTTGAAGTCAGGTAACATGATGGCTCCAGATTTGTTCTTTTTCCTCACTCTTGCTTTGGCTGTGTGGGCCCTTTTTTGGTTCCATACAAATTTAAGAATTGGCTTTTCTAATTCTGTGAAGAATGATAGCATTCTGATGAGAACTGCAATGAATTTGTAGATTTCTTTTTGCAGTATGGTGATTTCCACAATATTGATTCTACTCATCCATGACATGAGATGTGTTTCCATTTGTTTGTGTCATCTATGATTTCTTTCAACCATGTTTTGTAGTTTTCCTTATAGAGAACTTTCACCTCCTTGGTTAAGTATATTCCTAAGTATTTTATTTATATATTTTTTGCTGCTGTTGTAAAAGCGGTGAATTCTTGATTTGATTCTCAGATTGGTCACTGTTGGTGTATAGCACAGCTACTGATCTGAATGACACTTGAAAAAGCTGTTCATTTTCAGATTCTGTAAAGATAATTAAAGAATTAATTGGGGCCAATGAAACATATTGTTTTGAAATAAACTATGTAGATTTACTAAACCTGACTAAATCCCATTCTAGCACAAATTATTTGCAGCTTTATTCATTGTACCATTCTAGAACACCTCTGGCTGCATTTTTAGACTCACTTTTCAAAAGTACATTTTAAAAATGACTTCCCAAGATGAAAATCTCTGATGTATAGTCAAAACCAACAGTCAGTCTTCCCTCACTAAGGCAGTATCGCTTTGGTCTTGCATAGGGTCCTCTACTTTTTGTCTTTACAACATTGTTTTTGCCTAATGTTCATCCTATTGGTTACCTCCTGGTAACAGTGCTTTGAAATCAATAACATTAAACTCTGAAACTCTCCATCTGCAAGTGCAAAACATTAGATTACATTTTATCTCTGCCACCCCAAGTCCATTTGCTATGTTATAGTTGTTATTGCTATAGTATTCCTGTTTCTGTCCTATTATTGCATTAATCCAAGTATCATAGTCACCATGGGAGCTGACCTGCCATGTAATTCCTCTTGCAGCTCCTGGAATGTTTCCAAGCATGACTTAGACTGGTATCATTGCTTGGAAATGATACCCTTCTGCTCACAGGGAAAGAAGGCTGGCTGGAAGATTGTTTGAAGATTTTTATATTTATGAAGGCATAAAGTTGATTTGCCATGGCTTTATAATTATTTTTTTTTCATTCAGATATCTTTTAGACTCTCTTGGATGACTGCTTGATTCTACCTACTTTAAAGAAGATCTGTTTTCTCCTATCTCCTACCTAATATCCTACTTTTGCAGTAAGTAGATCTCCAAAATAAGAGGTGATAAAAATGATAACTGGCACTACTAGCAATGAAGCCACCTGTTCAGCCCAATAAGAATCTCAAGTGACTTATACATACAGGCTAGTGATCAGTAAATAGAGGACAATGATGTCTGGTCATTTCGCCACCTGTGAGACAGGTCTGGGATGTGATTCAGATGAAAACTTTTGTAGGACAGAGCAGGAGCTATCCAAGTCTTCCCGCAAGGTCATTCATTTCTGTGTCAAATAACAAACAGATTTCAATAAGGATTATTTTATAAATTGAGCAACAATAGATTATTACTTGGATAGGTGAAAATTATTTTGGCGAAAAGGATAAGAGAAGCACCCTTAGGTTGATAGATGTTTCAATTTTCCTGAGAAAAGAAATGCATTTACCAGATCTGAATCATTTTGCTAAATTACATTTCAATGCTGAGTCATCTGCACAGCAGTGCAGTAGTGCATGCCTTTTTGAAAGATAAGTTGTACAGCTGCATTATTCAAATCTCTGCATTAGAAATGGCTTGAGATGAGCTCTGAAAGGAACTTAATCCACACACAAAAAGTTCTAGCTTTTGCAGTTATCTTTTAAAGAGGAAAAAGTTCCGAAGATCTTAGAATCTCCAGGAAATATTTACACTGAAAGTAACATTGCTATAAATAACTGCCTTGTTTTAGACTTCACAAAAATTGTGACCGTGAGTGCCAGATGGGTAAGAATGATGCAAAATTCAAGATGGCATTGCCAAAGCTGGTTGCTACATGAAATTGAATAAAATTCCAACTATTTTGCTGCTTAATTCGACTCATTCTCATTATCAGTTTTATTCACTTCACAGTTGCATGAGGAGCAAGTGTGATATTTGAGGATAGAGGTTCTCAAACTGTCTTCCCAGACCAGCAGCATTAGCAGGATCAGGGAAGTTGCTGAAAAGCAAATGCAGTGGCCCTCTGCTGCAGACCTACTGATTCAGAAACTTTGGCAGTGAGATCCAGCA